TACCATTTACTAAGTCCTTACTCTATGCCATGCATAGTGCTATGCACTTCACAAATATCATCTCATTTGATCCTTACAAAAACCCTGAGGTTTTTTAATTGTGCTACAATTATCTCTATTTTACAGATGAGGAAACTGAAGCAGACAAAGGTTAGGTGACTTTCCCAGGGTCACAAGGAGGAAATGTCTGAGGCTGGATTTGAATTCAGGTCTTCCTGACTACCAGACCCAGCACTCTATACACTGTGCCAACTGGCTGCCAGTAAACTGTACTATACTATTAGTAGTAGACTGTACTAATAAATATTTCCCAATCACTTTAGATGTCTCTAGGCATAGACTCCTTTCTCTGGAAAAAAGGGGGTTAAAAAAAAAAATAAGCTTCATCAGAGAGATAAGGGACTTTCTTACCTGGAGCTAGATCCCATGTAACTCTTTCAGTTCTTACTAGCATAGCAAGAGCAGCAACCAAAATTAGCAATTTAAAGAAGTCTTTAACCAAAGTCATTTTATGTAGGTGAAAAAATTTCTTTGTTCCTGTGGAGTTCCACCTCACTCATATCCATGAAATTAGCAAACATGACAGAGAACAAGTTAAGTTTTCCATGAGAGGTGTGAGGATACAAGTGCTTATTTGCTATCTATGCTGTGAGGAGGGAGAAGAAAGTGTGGTTGTTGGCAAGTGGGTGGTCAAAAAATGCATAAAGAAAATACTTGGAAAATGCAAAAATAAGTTAAAATATGCATCCTTTTGGAGGCAAAATGGTGTAGTGGCTAGATCACCAGACTTGGAGTCCAAAAATCCTAAATTCTGGCTCCTACTTAATGTGTAACCTGAGGGCTTCTGTGCCACCTGGACTCTCCAAATCTGACTGCTAAGGTCCCGTGCAGATCCAAATTCATCTTTCATTCAGTTAATAAGAAGTGAACTTCCAAAGTGGAAAGTGACATATAGTACTATCAGTCACAATCAGTGACATTGCACAGCCCTCCCTCACTTAAATCCAATTCACTTGCAAGTCTTGTTATCGCCTTCCTGATGTCACCGTCCTCTTCAAGAACAAAGGACAAACAACAATCTGTGAGGAGTAGCTGCCTCACTGGAGACTCGACCAGCCAGTTCCACTAGCTCAATGCAGTTACTTTCTTCCTTCCTTTCCTCTCCCTCCATCCACACAGGGAATTATACCCTTATTTGGGAGTACTCTGCTCAAAGGAATATAAATTTTGAATACTAAAACCTAGAAAGATATCTTGGGGTTTACAGGCTAAATTTCTTTTCTTCTTCTTCTTTTTTATGGACCATTGAACTAGGTAAAAGAGGCCATTCTTAGCCTCATTTTTACCTAGCCTTAATCACTGAATGGGCCTTGCCTCAGACAAACTGAGACTAAGGAAAGACCTTAGCTTAAAAAGGCCTAGGCCTCCCACTGCATCCAGACCATGTCTAGTTGTCCTGATCTATATCATGCCACTGGACCCCGATGGCTCTGGAGAAGAGAGTGAGGCTGGTGACTTTGCACAGCATTCCCTCATTTAAATCCAATTCACTTGCAAGTCATGACATCTCCTTCTTGATATCAAGGTCCCCTTCAAGAACTGAAGGACAAACAACAATTAGGTAGTTTTGCATAATTGCTTTTGGGGAGTGCATTGTAGGGATTTTGGTAGCAAGTATCTTGTCTCAAAACAAAATAAATCCACAAAAACCTTTAAAATAAATGTAGCAAAAAAACCCTTCATCTTACTTTAAAAATACCTTTAATACTGTATTTAAGCTATTTGGAATTTTTTTTTAAGATTATGAGAGCAGTCATATATCTTTGCTATAGCTTAGAACAAATTATTCATGCAAACTTCATGACACATTTTAGAGTGGAAAAAAAGGCCAAGAATGAATTCATGACAATAAATGAATATCAAAAAGGCAAAAGAATATAAAATATGAACTGAGAAACTTGCTAAATATAGCATGAAAATTTGATGTACATGATTTTTTTAAAAATCCCATCTAGTAATTATGACATATACCCCTTCAGAAAAGCTCTTAACTCTTTACTGGTAGCCCCACATCAACTATTTGAGATAGATAAGGGTCTAAGTGCTAATATTTCCATTGACTAAAACAAAACCAATATACTAATCAACAAGCATTTATTATTTGCCAGGTACTGGCCGTACTTGATCTCACATAGTTAAGTAGTAGCCCTGAACTAGGACTCTAAGTAGAATTTTAGTCTTGATGCACACACCATCAATGGCCAACTTTTTTCTCAACCTGACTGAGACTTCCTGTATCTAATCAAACTAAAATAGAATTTTCCTTATGTGGTTAAATATTGTAATGAAGCTAGAAGCTCTGTAGAGAAATTAGCTTTGCGTAACTGTGTTGTTTTTTTAATGGCACGGTTGTTTCACTGACATACTTTCTAAAAAGCGCTTCTGACATTTTCAGACGTTCATTTGTTTTTGAAAAGTCTCAGGAACTATCAGTTATTTAGGTACCAAATAGGTATTCTATCAGCTGCCCCTTCCAACACACACACACACATACATACACACACACACAGTTTCAATTCCATGCTAGCAGCATGCATCGTTTGACTTTTGCTCATAAAAGATCATTATGGCCAACTATACATACATTGATCATAATACATACAAGCTTTTGCTATTCTAGATTAGACCTACATAGAGAACTTCCCCAAACTTTACTTGGCACAGGCAAGAATAGACCAGTTATCTTGAATACTTTTTTTTTGTGGAACCATTCTCTTTTAACATAACATTTAATAAGTAATTGTTCACAGTCTAAGGAAATGGAAGGTTGTTTTGTTTTTCTAAGGACTTTTCCACGTGTGATTTTGGCAGATTTTGACAAAATTTTTAACTTACGTACTGGTTTGGATAAGACATTTATTAATCAGTAGTATTAGTATTATTAAATACCTCCCCAGACCACTGGTCCTGATTCTAGCCCAGCCTTCAGTCGTCATTTGAGGAAGCAATTCCTGTAAAGGGGCCAGTCACTCTCACCAACAATCAACCGCCACCTACAGAGCAGAAAAGCCAAAGCAGCTAAAGTACCTTGAGGGAGAGACAGGGGGTAGCAAGTTCCAGGCAAGTCAAACCACCACCACCAGCACTCTGAGCACCATCATCTCCCCTCAGACCCAAACAGAGACAGTCCAGGACCTTAAATCCAAGAACCTGGAGAACAGCAATACTTCCAGCCCAGTGCCCTGTCATCCCAAGAAGCAGCCCTTGTGCTGAAGGAGCCTGGCCACTGCAGGAGCTACAGCCACAGCTACCAAACACCCAGATAATTAAAGGTCTTACAACCAAAGTCCTTGGTGCTATCAAACGGTTCAATATCAAAACAGGGGAAGTGCCAATTAGAGGTATTACTCCTTGCTTTTCTTCTGTACCTTAAAGACCATGTGGCCTTTCCATCTCACTTGCAGGTAAAATCTTCCATGTGTGGTCTTTCCCATTTGCACACAGGAAGCATGTAAAGCTTCACTGAAAATCCACTGACAGTAGGCAAAAATTTACTTGGAGGATATTGCAGGAAAAAAGGACTATATTGACTAATATAATAAAACATATTACTAATTTGGAAGATTCCTTTATTCGTATGTTCTGCTTCTGTTTCATCTCTCATCTAAATGTCTACATTTCTGTTGAAGGACCTATCATTTTTTCAGTTACCCAGGTTTGTATTAACTGGTGTCTTCCTCAACTCTTCATTCCGACCCCAGTATAAAATCAGTTGCCAACTTTTGTCCACATTTCTCAAAAATCACCTTTCCTCTCATACAACCACTACTCATGTTCAGGCCTTTGTCATGTCTCACCTGACTCTTGTTCCACACCAATCCATCCTCTATGATAGTGGGGGGTGGCACTCGGGGGGGGGGGGGGGGTGCTGAAATGATATATGGGGGTAGCAGTAGCTTCAGGGATAATTGGGAGGCACTGAATAAAAATAAGGGGGTTAGTGGAAGCATAAGGAAAGAAGAAAATTCTGAAAAATCATTTGTATATGTTTCATCTGTTGTATAACAGAGTTAGTCATAGTGATTACATTATTTTCCAAATAAATTCACAAAATGTAAGTTATAACTGATCAGTGGTCAAGTCTGTGAACAGGTCTTAACAAGTACGTATTGGCAGGGAAGTGTGTCCCATATTGTCAGGAAGTCCAGCATACACTGGCAGGAATATATGTGTGTAATAACTCGTTAATAATTATACAATTACACAGTTACATGACACAATATCACATCATCAAAATTTTCAATGCAGGAAAAAAATCCACAAATTTACAATAATGTATCAAATTTAAGATGTAATTTTTTTAAAAAATTATTTTTTTGAAATGATACAAATTTCAAAAAAACCATTAAAGGGCTAAAGTAGATTTCCAGGGGGTTGCGGAGTAAATTTTTTTTTTTGAGAAGGGGGCAGTAGGCCAAATAAATTTGGGAACCTTTACTCTATAGCCTCTAAACTGATATTCCTAAAATGCAAATATGACTATGTCATCCTCTACTCAAACTCCAATAGCCTTCCTTGATAAAGGGTTTACTAGATGTCAGGCACTAGGTGCTAAGCACTAGGAATACATGGAAAGGCAAAAACAGTCCCTCCCCTCAAGGATAAGTACTTAATAAAAGTTGGCTGATTATTTCGATTCATAGTAAAAATTATGAATTCTGTGGACCATTTTATTCTCATTTTCTTTTAAAAGTTTAAATATACAGACTAAGCAAAAGAAAATGCCTTAATTTCTCTGAAGTCCTCATACTCTATAACTCTCTACCAAGCAGTTAAGATATTCTCTTACAAATATTACCCAGGAAAAACCTATCAAAGAGTTAAGAACCACTGAAACACAAAGGTATATTACTTGAAATAAGGATACCACTAATTAGCTCTGGAATTAGAATTTTAAAATATTGCCCCATTCAAGGGGAAAAAATGAAATGACATCAAACTTGCTAAATAGGTATTGTTTATTAAGGCTTGTATTCTCCTAGAGGAAAAAAGTTAATCTGATGTCCATTACTCCATACAGGCAGTAACAGAGACAAGAGTTATGCGTTCTAAATACAAGTCTAAATGATACAGTTAAACTTTAAATCAGAGGATCTTTTGGAGTAAATAGTGTTCAGAAGACATTTGCTTTCTAATATGGCAAGGATCCTCTACAACAAACGCGTACAGATTCGGTGGGCCAGAGCAACAGGCATGAGCACCATTTTCATGCTTAATTCCAAATCCATTTGGTGTTGAGCTCTTCAGCGGTTCCCTCATTCCACAAAAACATGACAGCAAACTGAGTTTTTAAAAGTTTTTCTTTTACTCATCCAACAGAAAAAAAAATTAGACATATACACCGTCAATTTTAAACAGTTGAGGCATAATCCATCATACTCTCCATCCTATTAGTTCCTACATTAAAGCTCAGCATTATTGGTATAAAAACTTAAAATGGCATTTGGACTCTCAAGTAAGGAATACGGGGAAAAATTAAAAATGTCTGCAATAAACTAAGAACACCTGAAAGCTGAACCAGGTTTAAAACACATTTTCAAAAACCCTGCATTGTTGATAGCATCCCATCATCATCATTATTATTATTATTATTATTAAGCTATATAAACAATAAAGCAATTATGGCTGTGAGAAATATTCTCTGCAGGATATGGTATAACAAATGATTTCAAAAAGCTCTGGTTAACAGAACTTGAAAGGGATTCTTTTGTTTGTGTTAAAGAAATCTAAACAATTTTCCACAGCATGTAATAACTTAAAAGTTTAATTTTTCCCCATTTAGTAGAAAATCAAACTGACAATCCTGGCTTTTTAGAAGTGTAATCACAGACAAAATAAATGGCAAAACATCTGCAAAAACTGATCTGATTTACCTTTTGATTTCACTATTTTTAAGAGAAAGTATTTTAACAGAACGTTTTACATGACAAAACAATGCATGGTTTGTTATTTCGCCATAAAACCGTGAAAGGGGAGTACACGAAGGCTCATATGTATAGATATATAAAATTACTGTGAATATAAGAAAAGGAACATAATTTGTGCCAAAACTAAAAAAAAAAAAAAAATTCTTTGGGAAGCATTAGGCTTGTCTTTTTTGTTTTTTAAGGATGCTTATCTTATAGTTTATTAGGTCAGTCTGATTAATAGCTGACTTAAAAAAAATACAACTTTATTAATGGGTTCTAGAGCATTATACATAGAAAAAATACAAATTAATGCAGATCCACCTGGGAAAAAAAGCTACAAAGTAATTAAAGATGCAACAACTTAATTTCCCCTGCATGAGAAGATGCATTGGAGCTGAAAGCTTTAGTCAGTCCTGATGCCTAGATACAGCACCAGCATTTTTTAGTTTGTTTTTCATAGTTGAGTTCGTGAACAGTTCTAGTTTATCTTTATTTTTATTGTTTGTTTCGATTCTGCCGTTCCTATAAAAAAGAAAATAAGTAAAGGTTAAATACATTAAAAAAACATATTATATACTTCATAGGTATATTAAAAATGTAAAATATAAAACTTCACCCACCATGACAAAATTTACCTACCACGTTACCGGAAGTTTTTACCCACTGCATGCCTAAAATAACACATTCTCAAAGTGTCAAGCTATAAGTTGCATTTAAAGCCCCAAGATAAAATTAGTGATACTGGTCAAATCAGGTTAGTTTTTTAGTTAAACTAAATGGTTTCCTCTTTAAAAAGTCAATTTGGACCCATCAAAAGCTTTTTCTGCAAGCAGAAATATTTAATATTTCTGGTTAATAGGGTTATTTGCTTAAGTGATCAAGCTTTTCTTAACCTGAATTATCTGATTAAATACAAATAACATTTTGCATGGGAAAAATACTAAGATTATTTGTACCCAATAAGAGCTGCTAACACTGTTAAGAAAATGCCGTCACTTCCAATTAACTATTCCTATATGTATTACATTCATTCACACTCTATTCAGTTTACTTCCACTATACAGAGAATGCCCATTTACATTCCCTTTCAAACAACTACATTTTATTGCCAAAGTATAACCAACTAGTTCTGGGACTGTCTAGAAACAATCTCAATTTTTTTCCTGGCATATTCAGCACAGAATTTAAGCATATGAAGAAAAATCCAATTCTAAAAATAAATTATTTAATTTATGACTACTCAGAAAAAATAGCTCTTGCGTACTTTCATTTCCAAGAATGAAACTGCTAATCATGATGTACAGAAAAGCACTATACTAACAGTATAAACCTAGAACCTTTATTTCCTACCCTAAAATATACCAAAAAGCCCCCAAAAAACTCTAGCTTGTTAAAGTATAATTTAAACACACTAAATAAAGTCTTCTGCTCATTTTAATTATTTACATTATATATGTGAAATATGTTATCATATAAATAGCATTTTACTGAAAATGTTTTTTATTCTGCCTTATCTGGAGTTTTATACTAGGACAAGTAACAGCTCACATATCTAGGAAGATTTAATTTCCTCTAACTTCACCTCTTAAAAAAAAATAAATAAGAAAAATTAACCAAGTCTAGACCATGAGAGCAAAATAATTATGTTTTATTTAACTCTACAAGTACTGTATTCCCCTGAGAAATGAAGTCATTTCCTCCTATGAGATTGATGACTCCCCTCAAAGCAAACAGTTCTTCTTTCTCCCCTACCATTATTAATAACTTTCATCCTTATAATGTGTAGCTTTTCTTTTTTGCTATATCATGCCTCATTCAATTTTCTGACAGTTAATATCTCTCTTGTTCATTTGGTACAAATAATCATCACAAAATCATTATACAGGAAGCAGTTAAGTATCATCTCCTCCATATAAATAAAATGGTAACAAAAGAAGACAGATTCAATCTTACTAGCTGAATGCTCAACAATGAACATTTCAGCAACTGCTTACTCTCAATTTACTTTCTCTTGCCTTTATCTAGTTTTCAGTCAAAATTTGTTATCCTGAGAGTGCAGCCTTCTTATTTATATGGAGATGATCCAACATGTTCTGGACTGGTTCCTGTCAGTAGTAACTATGATTGGTGCTATAGTTTGAAATGTGGATGAGGAATTTTTTGGTTCAGTTTTATACTTAGCTGAACACTCAAGTTTTCAATAATCTAAATACAATATGATTGAAGATAATCTAAGAGTCTGTCCAGAGTTAAGTAACATTTTGTCAAATCTAGAACCTGGTGGCCTTTACTAAGGAATTAGAGGTAATTTCAAAGTTGAATTTCTTCAATTCCCAGCATTAGGGCTGAATGCTTTATGAAATTTCAGAGTATCTTCATGATTATTTTCACTATATCATACTTATGAACTATGTCCATCAAACATTGGTACAAGTTTATAAAAGTTAATAGCTTAAAATTGAAATTTTTGAAATTTATTTTATGGATATTACAAAACACAATATTTTAATTTTAAAATAAAACAAAACTCCAAGTACATAGGGTACCTTCAAATACCATTTAAATTTACTGAGTAAAACTAAATGAAAATTATGCAAATTTTTACAACCAGGCTAAGAATTAATTTTCCCTGTCCCAATTATTTAATTTCTGTTTACTCCACATTTAAGAACTCATTACTTACTGGAAATCCATAGAGATAAAATTTTAGAAAACCAAATTTAAATACAACATAAAAATATATCAAACTCTCAGTTCTTAATTAAATCTTTAAACTGATATTATTCCTGTTACCTAAATAGATATGTAGTCTCTTAACTTCCAACATGCATTTTAACGAGTTCAAAAGATATTTATATCATGGGGTAAAAACTGTTAAATGTTTCTGAGATGAAAAACTTTGATTTAAGTTTTCTGAAAATATTAACAAGAAATTTTTGGAAAATGTACTTATTAGTCAATTCTTATTTATCTGTTCCAATGACAGTAGAACAGATAAGTTGGGGGCGGAAAGCATGATTAGATTTGCCTTAATGATTGTGCTTAATTAGAATAATATCAAAATTGGTTTGCATTTTCTGACACACTTCAAGGGAAGCAACTAGAAGAAAGAGGTATTGCCAACTTCTGCACTAAGGAGACAGGTTATTAAAATAAATAATAAAGCCTGACCTAATGAATTTTTCAGGTTTAACAAAAATTATTTATATACAGTAACACTTAATAGATGTGTAACCCATAGGCAAGTCATTGAACATCTCTGAAACTCAGTGAAAAGGCTTTGTAACTTAAAAAAAGACTACATAAACAAGAGTTAAAGCACAATTACTATTTTCATACTAAGTATACTACATATATACACATATATATGAATACATCTGTATGTATATCTGACATATATACACATATAGTATGCATGCATGTTTATGTATATATAGATATATAGATATATATATAGTACCTTTGATTTGAAAAGCTAGAAGTTTAAAAAATTTACGCAATTTCATTAGACTTCACATCTCGAGGAGGTTAGAAAAGGTAGAATATTAGCAAAGCCATTTCAGAGAAGTAAACTAAGATACAGCTATTAAATGACTTAGCTAAGGTCACACACTGTGATGAAACCAAAGTTTTGACTCCCAGTTTACAGAGAATTTAACTATTTTATATGGATAGGTCTCTCCCAGCTCCCATTTTCTTTCATAAATTATATAATGAAAGCTCCTTTCCTTCAATTAAAAATTTATAATAAAATACATTAAAAGTCAAAAGTCTCCTGATCTGAGCATCACCTAGTAACAATAATAACTATCTTTTTATGTTACAATTGTCAACTACTAGAGTTGAAAGGGACTATAAAGGCCATCTAAGATCAACCGTTTGAGCTACCCTTCACTTCAAATGGAAAATTGATATGAATTACTATAAAAAAAACTACAAGTAGTTTTATTTTAAAAGTTGTCTTTTTTATATCATTTCCTTACTATATATACAAACACACCGTGCAAGTACTCAAAACCTCAGATGTAAAAAAAAAAGGAAAACTGTCCATTTTACTTAACTTGTATATAAACAAATATTTTCTTAAAATAAAAATTTAAGAATGTGTTATCCTCGATGTCAGGAATAGCTTGCTCTAATAGGACTTCCCTTAGTAGACTGCCCATACCTGAAAAATTAAGCCTGAAGATTGGAGACAATCACACATGAATGACTATACTACATCACCAGCATGTCACTTTGCTTGCTCATGGACCCCAGCTTTGATCATCCATGCAGTCTTATCCTAAAAATTATTCAAACATATTAAAGCTATTTTGCATAGCACAATCATTTTAGTCATTTAATCCCATGTTTCCCTTATACAATGGAAATAAATTAGATTAAAAGGTAGATGAACAAATGAAAGCTCTTAATTGATGAATGGAGTAAAGAAGTGTTTAAGTAACTACTGTTCAAATTAGAACACCAGAAAAAGTAAAGGCCACATGAAACCAAATTCCCATTCAAATTTATATTCCATTCCAAAATTTCGCAAGAAAAAAATGAAATATTTGAAATAAATGTGATTAGCCTAGGAATGGAGAAATGAGAGTGGCTTGTTACTCATGAGCAAGTCTATTTATGGCATTAGATAGTAAATAGTCAAGTTCAAATTCTCTATCTTAAATCTTCATCTGCTTTGACATGGATAAAAGAAAAGTACCATATTCCCACCCACTTATTCCCAATGCTAAGAAAACCTCAAATTATAATCAAAACCCTTAAAAAGCAAAGCACATTATCACTTCTCTGAACACTCAGAACAAGATGGCTAAAAATCCAAACTGGAAATTACTTAGTTTTATAAATTACTGTATTGTGAAAATGTCTAGCAAATCCCTAGAAGGTGGAAGTTCTCCACAAAAATTAAGAGTGTAAGGCAGAATTGATGCTACCTTATGCTATTTTTTTTTCTATTTGTACTACTGTACTAGAAGAGCCTCTGAGGTTAACTATTAAATTTCTGTTTATTAAACCAAAGAAAACTATCAGGTCTCCCTAAATTTGCCATTACAATACCTGACATTTCCTTGACTTTTCTATTTTCATGACTTGTACTTTAACACTTCAAGGATCTGTAATTTCATCGGTGTGGATATGCCCTCCACTGATGCAGATCACAACCGCTCTGTAACTTAGATGGTATCTGAGTTGCTGTGGCAAAAAAAAAAAAATTCAACCTGTGTCCAACCTGGTCATTTTCATGATTATAGTGCTCAAATCTGAGTTAGTCATGACAACAATTACATAGTAATTTCCATTTCTATCCTTCTCCCCTCTTTAGATGGCATCTTTTCTGAAAACTAAGAAATCAAATACAAATTTACCTTGCGCACTACTTCTTCCTCTTCTTGGCGCTTTTCATAATGAGAAAAATCATCAAAGATGGAGGTTGTGTGCTTGTAAGTGGAAATAATTTTAAGCACTTGTTTAGCTTTTTCTAAGGGTACCTCCTGTGTGTCACGGGAGTTTGTAACTGGTTTGTTGTCATTATTCTCCAGCCTGATGTGTCGAAGTTGGTTGTTGGGTACATCCTTGACAAAGATCCACTTGACATCAAATTTCCCCTTCCATTTGTCCTGAGACCAGACACCAGCACTAGTGCCATAGTCCACAGGTGACTTCATCTCTGCTACTCCACAAAAATGTCCACTACCATTGACACTGAAGAGCAAATAGACAGGACCCTTACTGTTCAAAGAGCGGAAAGCACTGTCCAAACGTTTGTTTCCATGTTCTGTGCTACACCAAATGGAGTATTTAATGGAACGATGAATATCATCCTCAGAATAGCTCTTTATTATGAAAACACGTCCATTTTTAAGATTCCAATCAAATTCTTTAGGGTTATAACTATGGGCAGCTTTCAGTTTTTCAAGGACAGGGTGTGATTCTCCACCTGGAACAGAATTAGTTTGGGCATTTCCAGTAGAGTTGCTATCGCTACTGGTTCCTCCACTTTGTCCAAAAGCTGCATTTCGGTTTCGAGGGGCTACCCAACGGTTTGGGGGTGGTTGCTGAGGGTTCTGATATTGTGTCTGGGCCAAAGGAGGAGGCTGAGTTGGAATAGGCTGAACAATCTGTTGTTGTGGCTGTGGGAGAGACTGAGGTGATGGAATCTGTTGGGGAGCGGGAGCCTTGCTCACAGGCCCCTTATTATCCCAAGTACCAATGTCCATATTATGTTTTATAGGTGGAGGAGGTAAAGCGCCTCCAATTATAGGTCCACTTTTTGTTTTCATTTTAGGTTGTGGTTTTGCAGGTTTGCTGGCAATGGCAGCCCAAGATGTTGGTTTTGAAACTGGTAAGTTTACGCTTGATCCACCATTACCAGAAAGAGCACCAGTCATTACAGCACTGTTAACAGATCCTACCGTCTTAACTGCAGATGTTGTCACATCTCCACCAATCTTAAGTCCAACCATTCCCTGCTCAATGCTATTCACTCCAGGTGCTTTATTTAAAGTGTCATTATGAAATCCTGTCTGTCCATCAACAATGGTACCACCCAAAGAACTGGGTGGGTAGCTATAACTGCTTCCATAAGCTGAACTTTGAGTTTGTTGTCCTTGGGATCCACTTGTTCCCCATGCTGAAAATGCAGGGTTTTCTGGGAAAAAATTAAACCTGTGTTGATAGATATTGTTTCCCAGACCCCCAGGTTGTCCAAAAACAGCATCATGCATGAAATGATGGTCGCCATTACTAAGCTGTCCATAGGTGGTGAGATATGGAATAGGTGGATCACCACCAGTAGACCATGGTGCTTCACTGAGTGAGTAAGGAAATCCAATAGGTGGTGGATAGTAACTGGAAAGGTAGGGATCAGTCACTGAGGGATAGCTATTATTCTGTTAAAGAAAATCAAAATTATTTTTAGAGTTAGGTCTGTATTTATAAAAATATAAAGAATTTATTAAAATTATATGATTAATTTTCCTTTTTAGAGTGCTACACTTTGTTTAAACCATAGATCAACTAGAGCTTCATGCTGGGTAAGGTTGCTAATTTATTATCAAAACAGCTTTCAATGGCATATTAAAAGGTAAATGATTATTTAAGAATGACATAAGGTTTTTAAGGCAGATTGAGAATTCAAACATTTCAGATCAGTCTCAAAGTACAAAGCAATTTCATTTATGACTATCTGAATTTAAATAAAAAGTGACAATTATACTAAAAAGTAATTCCCTATTCTAAAATTAAATATTTTATTGAGTTCATCTGATTACATAATTGACTTAACATACTTCATCATTTCTGGGGCTAAAATCCTGTCTACTCTTAACTTTCAAAGATGGAGCCAGGGCTGGAACTATATCTTTCTGTACTCTTTAATAGTGAAATTTACAGAACTCATTATTCCACAGGTAGGACACACTTAAGAGTGCAAACAGCTCCAAAAAGGAGTCAGGTACATCCAAGATGGATTTCTTATAATTTATTAGTAGAAATTAGGCTATTTTGAGGGCATCTTTCTAACCTAAAATCAACAAAGAAGTCAATTATACCTTTTATGTCATTTGATAACACTATCAAAGGAAGAATAGTGGACTGGAAGGCAACACAATATAGTGGGAAGAACACTGGCTTTGGATTATTTTGGTTTGAGTGCTAGCTCTGACACTTAGTAGCCATATGATCATAGCTTTAAGTAAACTGTGCATAATATAGTTCTTTGGGTGTAATTTTTATTGTTTTATAGAAGAAAGAGAAGGTAAATTTCTGTTACTCCAAATCACTAGGCCAAGTTTCTGTGGTCAGCAGACTACTGTAACCCTTCATTCTGATATCATCTCTCCCTCTCTTTCCTTCCAAATTCAAGAAAGAGAGAAGACAGAAGATATTCAATTGCTCTGAGACCTATAATAACGATCATACTCATTTTATTAGCTCTCATCTCTCCAAGTAAATCAGCCTTCTAGAATTGCTGACCCTGAGCAAATTTTGAGGAGCTACCTGAACATAAATCTTTCTCAAACACTGTAAAATCGGATGCTACGACCTCCGCTATTAATAGCTAATATTTATATACCACTTACTACGTGCCAGGCACTGTGCTAAATGTTTTACAATTATTATCTCATTTGGTGCTCACAACAACCCTGTAAGGTAGATGCTATTATGATCCCCATTTTACAGATGAGAAAACTGAGGCAAACAGAAGTAAAGTGACTTGCCCAGAATCACTCCGCTATTAAGTGTTGAAGGTCATATTTGAACTCAGATCTTGCTAACTCCAGGCCACCCTAGCTGCCTACCAAAACCGTTCTGGTACTGGTAGTGGCCCGAATCATATTAGTATCAGGTTGTGGTCATAAGGTAGAAACCTCCATTCTGCCTTCATGCTAGGTTTAGAAATTCTGGCTTATCATAAAATGAATGAAAAATATACTTCCTTTCTTTTTCAATTTGTCACAAATGAGTACACGTACCATTTTTTCTTCACTTAAAAAGTAAGGGATTACAGATGTGGAATGCTACATATGCTCAGACTAAAGTCAACACATTGACTGGGTTTTCTGAATTTAAAAACAATCTTTGTTATAATTTAAGGGAGGAGTAGGGGCAGGAAGGGAGTCATGTGTACGCCCAAATGAATGTAAATGTAAAAAGAAAAGGCATCAATATTTTTTAAAAATTCTGCTTCTCCTCAAGCCCATCTCTTTTACTAACGTTCTCATTCCTAGCTATTACCCAACAAGCAAATTGGAATTTTACTTAACAGGAGCCCAAGAGCAGACTTATTCTTTCTTTATAAGGCCCTCCATAGTCCCCTCAAACAACCCAAGATGATCAAGATCACCCTCTTTCTACTAAAACCAGCTCCTTAGATTCCTATTATGGCCTGTTCTTTCAAGATAAAGTTCTCTTCCAAATGTCAAAGTTACTACATGATTTAGATGTACAATGTCAATACAATGCACCCTCAGATGCAACTGTAATGATGAAAATTCCTATCTACTCTGAAATAAATGGAGCAATAGGATGACAAAGCAGAATGAGCACTGGATTTAAAAGTTCAGGATCTGGGTTTGAATCCCAGTACTCTATTTTAGTACTCATGTGACCACTGGCAAGTTATTTTGCTATATGCCTAAGGTTCTTCCTCTGCCAAGAAAAAGAAAAAAAGGATATGGAATAAATGATCTCTTCCATTCCTTTTAATTCTAAGTCCTATATTTCTAATTGAAGGCTATTTTTAAAACTTGATGACTGTAATAAACTATGACAAGCCAGGAAGAGTTAAGGACCTAGTCTGTAGTAATGGCCAAGACTGAAGCTAACTAAACTACAAAGCAGTTTAACAAATTTGGTTGAGTGGATTGGAAGCAAAGAGAAAATAGTGACTGAACTAAAATCCCTTAGAAGTAACGGCTGCTTCTGACATAATACTTAAGTTTTGACTGAACAGCACATCAAATCCAAGTATATGTGCAAACACATAAAATAGCACAATGCACCAAGGTTATTTTTACCATAACAATTAAGTTGATATGGTTGAAATTTCTATCTACTTACACATCCACACACACACACACACACACACACACACACACACTCACTCCCTTTATGCTTTAAACCGCTACCTTCCATCTCTGATGTTGGGGGTTTAAGTAGAAACTCTGTGTGTGAAGTGTATTCTTCCTACCATCGCCCTACCTTATATATACTATATTAAGTGTATGTGCCCACCTTTTAAAATCTGAGTAAAAACTCCACTCATCATTGTTAGGTTGGACCTGAAAAGTCAGTGGTATCATTTATGGATCAGCAAAGGGCTTCTTCCAACAAAATTCATTATCTGTCTGCAATCACATTGTAAACCACCGTTAAACTTCATCTTCAGTAAATCTGAACTCATATAACATATCCTTGCCCAACCAAAGTCCACAGATCAAGAATTACTTAATCTCAGGGACACTCCTAAATAGGGCTGGTAACCAACAGATCAACATAATAAAGGTAGGCCAAAAGTGGACACACGGACACACACACACACACGCACGCGCGCCAACAAGCTTAAGTAGAATGTTAATTATCCCCTTCTCTCTCCTCACACATCCACCATCTTAGTATGAGTCTTCATCACCTGTTGCCTGGACAAAAGCATTATTCTATTAGTCTCCCTGCCTTAAGTCTTTCCCCACTATAATCCATCCTCCACACAGCAGCCAAGGTGAATTTCCTGAGGTTCAAGCCTGACCACATCATTCTCCTAACCCAGTAAACTCTAATGCTTCCCTATTGTAAGTAGGATCAAATATAACTCTTTGTTTAGATTTTAAAATCCTTCACAGCCTGGCCCTAAACTACTTTTCCAACCTTATCATACAGGATCCCTATTGCCAGCCAAATTGTCCTTCTTGCTATTCCTTGCACAAGATATTCCATGGCCTGTCTCTGCCTTTGCACTGGATGTCTGCCACACTTGGAACGCACACTCTCATCTTACCTCATCTCTTAGTATCCCTTGTTTCTTTCAAAACTACTCAGGTGACACTTTCTACCCAAAACTTTTCCTGATCCTCAGAACTACTAATGGGTCACCCCAATTAATCTCATTTATTCTGCATATATTTTTCCTATACAAAGAACAAAGTATAGGAGGAATACAGGTATGCTCCCACTTGTAAATCAAATACATAAATCAACTGGAAGTGATTATTTATATTATAAAATGAGTCCTCCTTCACAAAGATTTCTCTGAAAGTTTTTTAAGTAGCAAATTTCTCTAACATATTTAACATTAACATATTCCTTTATAAAGATTCAGTTTATATGAGTTATCTTTAATGAATTTGTACTATCTCCTGAACTAGATTGTAATCTCCTAGTGGGCAGGAACTATGTCTTCTATTTCTTTCTAACCCCCACATATCAAATGCTTCTTGATGGAGGCAAGAAAGAAATAAGATTCCATTTATATGGTATTTTTCTTTACTTTTTGTATAGGGATTTACAATATTCAAAAGAGCTGAGATGCAGTTTACTTAAAAGTTCTGCCAACAAGAAACAATTATAGGTCTAAAGATAGAAGGGACCTCAGAAATCATCTGTTTAAACACATTCGTTTTTCAGATGAGGAAACTGAGGCCCAGAAAAGTCAAATAACTCGCCAAAGGTAAAAGCTATTGAACAGAAGTGATAGGATTTGAGCCCAGGTCTTCTAATTTCAAATTCAACAACTTTTCCATAAGAGGCTCTCATCAGTCCTTGCACCAGCCCTTCCAAGATGCTATTTCTCTGTCTTCAAGGTCTCACTTCTTCCTTCAGCAGGAAGCTCAAATACAAACAGGGACACTTTATCCACTTTATTCCTTATCCACTCACCACTCCTCCACACACACACACACACACACACACACACACACACACACACACACAGTGCTACATACCGCCTTTCCTCATTCATACATAAATATAAACTTACTCATTATTTTCCAGTCTTGTGTAGTTCTACAACAAAAATAATGCACAAAACACACTCCTGTAACCAATCTGGTGGCATTCCCTTTCATTCATGTACACACTTACAAACGCAAACTCATTCTCATTCTGTGCTCACACACAGGTATCTGTGGAGCCTCCTTTTCCCTGTACTTTAGTTTTCAAGTCTTCTGTTCCCTCTTGTTTATACACATTCAGCATGTATATGAACACAGAGAGAGTACACACAAGATCATCTATAAGGTCTCTTCTGGCTCAAAAAATTCTATAATTCTGTTCCAAATGAAAAACTCCCTAATTTTATTTTTTCATGTAACAAATTAGTTCTGTACTTTCTCAATGCATTAAATTGTAAATTTATTTCAGTTTTGGCAATAGTGGAGTCCCTTAGCAGTACTAC